GTGTGTGTGTGTGTGTGTGTGTGTGTGTGTGTGTATGTGTGTGTGTATCATATTGTATGTTGTCTCTGTATTGTTTTGTATATATGTTATGACTGATAAGTCAACCGACTTAAAGTAATAAAGAACTTGACTTGAGTCATTCCCTTCATTAGGTTATCAAAAATGTTCCACAGGGATTGCCCAATTTGACCATTTTGATCACTGATTAGAGTTTTGAATGCACTATTACAGTAAACTTGTATTCAGTGTTTTAAAATAAAAATGTATTTCATTGCAATGATCAACTCACAACAGGGGAACATTTAATATCTTTTTACCTACACCAGAAATATATATATATAAACCTTAATGGACATCAAAACTTGTAATTCATTAATTTACAAAATATTGCAGATGTTATGTGTTGGATGTGATTTGTAATGCTCTATTTATCTACGCTGACCAGAAATCTGCTCAAGAAAGGTCTAAGAAAGATGTACATGTCATAATGAAGTTTTTTCTAATTTCGGATCTGTAGAACTAAAGCCCTATGTCACTGTAGAAAAAGGCAACAATGACATACCGAACACGAAGGATCTTCCATCTGTCAGCTGGAATGCTGAAACTGCAATACGATCAAGTGCAACAACTTCATTTGGAAAGATTAGCTTTGTCAATGTGGATGCAATGGGAGGACAAAAGCCAGCCAAGGTAGTGTACAGTAGATCAGTTTTCATATATATAGATATAATTGTGTATAACTATCAATGACCTGATCCATTATGCTTTGATTAGACAATTTTTTTTTATAACTTATGTTGTGAAATCTGGTTTTCTGTTTCGCAGTATATGAAATAACTTTACGTTATGTAAACCAGTTTCCTCTGACCCTGACACCAGACTTAAACATTTTTACAGCTAGATGTCTGGTGTGGGCCCCAGACATCTAAGTGTCAACATTTCTAAGTCTGCTGTCAGAGGAAACTCAGGCTAAAATTATGTATGATTCTGTAGAGTATATGGAAACTATTTCTTATAACAGTATATAGGTTTCACATTGAAACATGTCAAACTCTTGTCTAGCTGTTTTCTATAAGAGTTAAAGGAACTAGAGTCTTTTTCTAATTACTGCATGTGAGGAACAGGAATTACAGGAATGATAGTCGGGATTTAACATCCTAATAAAATCGTAAGGTCATATGAAGATGACTCTGGTCTGTTTCCTATTTTAGTATGTGAGACCATGAGCGATGTACCTATGTAGTCTGTTTCCTATTACAATTTAATGCGAGACTGAGCAATATAGTCTGTTTCCTATTACAGTATGTGAGACCATGAGCACTATAGTCTGTTTCCTATTACAATTTAATGCGAGACTGAGCGCTAAAGTCTGTTTCCTATTACAGTATGCGAGACCATGAGCACTATAGTCTGTTTCCTATTACAGTATGTGAGACCATGAACACTATAGTCTGTTTCCTAGTACAGTATGTGAGACCATGAGCACTATTGTCTGTTTCCTATTTCAGTATATGAGACCATGAACACTATAGCCTGTTTCCTATTACAGTATTTGAGACCATGAGCACTATAGTTTGTTTCCTAGTACAGTATGTGAGACCATGAACACTATAGTCTGTTTCCTATTACAGTATGTGAGACTGGCACCAGAAGACTCTATAGACCACCTGATTGAGCTGATGGATGTCCACTGGAAGATCAATGAGCCAAAGCGTCCCAATTTAGTCATATCAGTGGTTGGAGGGGCAAAAAACTGTAAACTAGATGGACACATTCGGGAGAAGTTTTCTACTGGATTAATAAAAGTAATATTTCTCACGAGTTCATGTGTCATTCGCATCTCCTTGGTATTTTAAATAAAAATATAATATCAATGGTATAACTGACCTGCAAGCACTATTTGTGTGGCATTATAATTTAAACAACTTATAGCAGGGAAATGAAGCGTTTTTTGCCAATCTTGCTCTCCCACTCCTTCCGGAGATGCTCCATGTCCCTCTCAATGTCTTCCCAGATCTAATGAAATGAAGCGTTGCCCATAATTGCAATCTGAAATCAGGAAATCTGATTCATATTATCACATGGTATTAATGTTTTCTGATGAACTGCAAATCATACTTTATTGTTTTTACTGAATCTTTTTCCAGATCATATTTTTAGCCATTGTTTCATTGCTATTTCAGGCTGCCAAGACAACTGATGCCTGGCTGATCACGTCCGGGTTTAACATGGGTGTGATGAAGTATGTTGGAATGGCTGTCAAAGATGGTCAGTCATTCACCTGGAATAATGATAGAATGGCGCATGTCCTCCGCTGTATAGGTATTGCACCTTGGGGCTACGTCAATCATCGCCAGGTGTTGGAGAGTCCTGACGGCCAGGTAATGTAGTATACAATCTTATTAGAAATGACCTTTGCCAGTTTTTGGTTTAAATTCTTTCTCATAAAAAATAGTATCCAATATTGTTTACAACTTATTCCTTTGAAACAATTTTACTGTTCTTTACTACTAGTTCTAGTAAGTTTGCTATTGAATAAGATATTTTCAAAATATTAGTCATTAGATATATTTTAAGGTCGATTATCTGATAATTTTGGAAAAAATGTTTTTACCATTTCCTAAAATATCTTTTTGTTTCCCAGGGCCTCTACAATGCAGAGTACAAGACAAGCAACATCATTCTGCATGGTCAGCCTGTCCCCCTGAATGCCAACCACACACACTTTATCTTTGTGGACGATGGCTTGCGCAACAGATACGGAGGCGTTGCCGCATTTCGTGCCAAGTTTGAAAACAGAGTTCAGCAACCAAGAGAAGGTATATTTTGTATGACCAGTTGAGAAATTATTCATCATTGATAATAAATCTTATGTTTTTAAATTAGCTGCATCAGCATTATATAATGAGATTGCTGACTCATGTTGATTGTTTTGTTACAGAGGGAGGTCTGGGCATACCTGTCGTGTTGGTTGTGGTAGAGGGTGGTACAGACGCTATTGATGATGCCAACAATTCGCTGCAGCAGAACATCCCAGTGGTTGTGTGTGCCGGGACCGGTCGAGCAGCAGATATCCTCAGCTACGCTTACCAACATTATACAGGGTACATGTACCACAAGCTTCATAATTATTTTACATTATACAGCATACCACATGCTGTATAATTATTTCACAACAATATACACCGTACTACCAGTTTTTATGATTATTTTGCAATATTCTACAGTATTAACAAGCTTTATATATTTTTTTATTTACTTAATGCAGTGAACCACATGCTTTTTTAGTTGTTTTACAACATTATATAAGGTGCCACAATCTCTATAATTATTTTACAACTTTAAACAGGGGACCACATGCTTTATAATTATTTTACAACTTTATACAGGGAACATATGTACCACAAGCATTGTTGTATGCAACTTTGTAAAATATTTTTTTTTTTTAAATCTACATTTGCAATTTTGTTAGGAGAAATATGGCCGCTGGATTTTTTTTCCTATAAATAAGATAAAACTTATAACAGTTTAAAGACTCTTTCCATTTAGGATTGCTTTTTTAAACCAAATGTATTTTTTATTAAAGTTCAAGGTGTCTTGAATGATGGATACTTAGTGTCTGTACGTGTACACTCACACTTTAGGTAACAACAGAATAGACTGGGAACCTGAAACAATATTATATATAGATAATAATGATATACATGTAAACCAAAAGTACCATGGTTTAGATATGTACTGTTACATGTAGATTTTTTTTTTTTAATAAAACTTTTAGAACAATTTCTTTTGTACCATAATTAACAATAGTACCAGAGAATAATCTGATACAACTGAAACATTCTGATTGATATAATTTAGGGAAGATGTTCTTTGATTGCACACCATTTCTCTCCACTTCCCTTAGTTAATACTTGGTAATTTATGAATTTACTGTAAAAGTGGAAATTTTCTTGTGTAGAAAAGTTCGAGTTGTGACCCTGAAACTTACTGTGTTTCGAAAATGTTCACATTGGCAAAAGTTTTAAAATACAAATATTCTATTTATACTCTATAAAGAATTAGTGGTGTGTGGTTATTTTTGCACTAATTTGACCAACATGAAAAATGTGAACATTTCCACACCACAGACATTTCCACTTTACATGTTTTTTGTGTCTTATTCAGTATATTTTGCTTGATCCTTAATTATTCTCCCAAATTGTATACTCAACCCTGGATTTCACTGTTACAGGGTGAATGAAGTTCTGTGAGTAACTGCACACCCAGGAATGCTTTTTTAATTATCATGCATATTTTCATCTCATTTCCTAATTTCAATAATGTTCTTGTTTAGTTTTTGTGCTCTAGATGCAGTTTTAGGAACACCTTTTAAAGGTGGTGTGCCTGGCATAGCTTGCCCATGATGTTTGATATCAAACTTTGCCCACAAGCACAATGGAATTAAAACACTGTGAAATCCCCTAGACGTCACAGCCAATAAGAACTAGTGATTCAAACACTGTGTAATCCCCTAGACATCACAGCCAATAACAACTTGTGGTTCAAACACTGAAATCACCTAGACATCATAGCCAATAAGAACCAGTGATTCAAACATTGTAAAATCACCTAGACATCATAGCCAATAAGAGCTAGTGATTCAAACAGGGTAAAATCCCCTAGACATCATAGCCAATAAGAACTAGTGATTCAAACATTGTAAAATCCCCTAGACATTACAACCAATGAGAATTAGTGGTTCAAACACTGTGAAATCCCCTAGACTTCACAACCAATAACAACTAGTGGTTCAAATACTGTGAAATCTCCTAAAAGTCACGGCCAATAACAACTTGTGGTTCAAACACTGAAATCCCCTAGACATCACAGCCAATAACAACTTGTGGTTCAAACACTGAAATCCCCTAGACATCACAGCCAATAACAACTTGTGGTTCAAACACTGAAATCCCCTAGACATCACAGCCAATAAGAACTAGTTCTTATTGGCTGTGAAATCCCCTAGAGGTCACAACCAATAAGAACTAGTGATTGAAACATTGTGAAATCCCCTAGAGGTCACAACCAATAAGAACTAGTGATTGAAACATTGTGAAATCCCCTAGAGGTCACAACCAATAAGAACTAGTGGATCAAACACTGTGAAATCACCTAGACATCACAGCCAATAACAACTAGTGATTTTAACACTGTGAAATCCCCTAGACGACACAGCCAATAAGAACTACTGATTTAAACGCTGTGAAATCCCCTAGAGGTCACAACCAATAAGAACTAGTGATTAAAACACTGGGAAATCCCCTAGACGTCACAACCAATAAGAACTAGTGATTAAAACACTGGGAAATCCCCTAGACGTCAAAGCCAATAAGAACTAGTGATTGAAACATTGTGAAATCCCCTAGGCGTCACAGCCAATAAGAACTAGTGATTCAAACACTGAAATCCCCTAGACGTCACAACCAATAAGAACTAGTGATTAAAACACTGGGAAATCCCCTAGACGTCACCGCCAATAAGAACTAGTGATTAAAACACTGGGAAATCCCCTAGACATCCCAGCCAATAAGAACTAGCGATTCAAACATTGTGAAATCCCCTAGACTTCACAACAAATAACAACTAGTGGTTCAAATACTGCGAAATCTCCTAAAAGTCACGGCCAATAACAACTTGTGGTTCAAAAACTGAAATCCCCTAGACGTCACCGCCAATAAGAACTAGTGCTTCAAACATTGTGAAATCCGCTAGACGTCAAAGCCAATAAGAACTAGTGATTCAAATATTGTGAAATCCCCTAGAGGTCACAACCAATAAGAACTAGTGATTCAAACATTGTGAAATCCCCTAGACGTCAAAGCCAATAAGAACTAGTGGTTCAAACACTGAAATCTCCTTAAAGTCATAGCCAATAAGAACTAGTGGTTCAAACACAGAAATCCCCTAGTCGTCAAAGTCAAGGACTTTTATTGGTCAACATGTCATTTAATACATTCATGAGCTCCTACAATCGTATTTACTTCTTCTGTTGTTGGCTTTAATCAAGTGCGGGATGGCATGTGAAATACCAAATATTCAGACTAGTTAAATATTATTCAAAACTTGATATTTAAAATATTTAACTTAACACATATTTGTCATCATACCTGGTAATGACTGTTTTGGTTGTTTACTTTTTATACAGTGTATACATGTATATATTTAAGGCTTGAAATGCAACTTTTTAATATTTATAAGGGTATGCAACACAGTTCTGTTCAAACATATTCAATGATGCAGTTCATGCTGTTTTGAAATTAAGATAAAATTACGATGAGTTTTCACAAGGACTAGCTTTATTGAGTATTGAAAATTGAAGAAACACTAGATAGACTTATGTGTATGTAGAGTGTAATATTTTATGTTTCTGTCACATTTTATTTAAAGAATCAAATGCTTTCATAGTCTCATCATCAGTGTCAAAAGTGTATAACTTAGGCTAACATTAATTTGAAACTCAGTCTCTTGCACATGTGGAAGAGCTGAAAGTTAAAGTGTAGATGCACATTTTTTTATGACTGTAGGAACACACTTTTTCGGTGGAGGCAGATTTCTTGTAATATGAACGATGTGTTTCTAAGTATTAAATGTACACAAGAGAAGAGATTGGTTCATACCAGATATCATCTTTCATCAAAACACAATGACATCAGTTTAGACAGGGAGACAAAAAGTTCACAACTTGAAATACTGAAGTCTTTTAAATAATAGCGAAATTAAAAAAATAAAGGTGAACAAGCCATTGTTTTCTTGTTTCTGTGTCAGAATTAAGGATTTTAAGTCAAACTTTAAACCTAGGGTGGNCCCCCCCAAAAAAAAACCACCTAAAATACATCCTGTATCCACCCCTGAACATGTTTATAATTGGTACATAAAGTTGTCAATTGTTGACAATTTGATCATGAAAGTTGTTAGTGATTTTGATGTAGATATAGTTGGATGAGTTATTATTCTAACATACCGGCTAATTGTATTTTTTGAATGATTTTAACCTAATATTGGAAAACGAATTTCAGGAAATTGACAAAAGAGCATAAATTGCGAAGAAAAATTCAGGAAGCTTATGGAACAAAATGGTCAGAGGAGGAAAAAGAAGCTAAAACAGAACCAATTCTGGAAAAGATAAAATCTTGTCTGAAGAAGAAAGATTTGGTAAACTTCTTGTCATGATTCTTATAACTGCAGAATTGTACTTAATTTCACATAGAAAGATATCTTGTCAGGTATGCTGATTCATTTGTCTGTTTGCATAGAAACAGCAATCCAAATTAGTTTGTATTAAAATTGAACCCATTCAAGTAGCTGTATCATTGTAATATTAATAATCAGTTAAAAGAAAGTTATTAACATAAAAATACCTATACAGATGCATGGCTACAACAGACAAATGAGGAAATTCATTCCAGATTTATTCCCTCCTATAAATTAATAGTTTGAAACAGATGGAGACTTATTACCATTATCATGCTTTCAATTTCAGATGGTCAATTTTAGCATGAATAAGAATGAAGATTTAGATCTGGCAATCCTGTCCTGCTTGTTAAAAGGTATTATACAGTATACTTTACTTTTTGAATTCTAAGAGTCACCTTCGCGTACACGCCATCAATATGTATATTATGTTGTTAACTTATATTCGCTGTAATGATAAATTCGCCCCCAACACGGAGGGCAACAAATATATATCGAGTCCCAGGATATGAAGTAAAACCATCAGTCAGTGTTTTTTCAACATTGTTGGTGTTTAACACTGAATGAGAGAGCAACATATATGCTTGGGTACAATTATTATTTTATGTCATAAATTTAGTCCCACCCACTGTCTGGTAAATGATCTCCTGTCTTTGGAACAAACACTTTACTTTAATAGATCACTTTGAGGTTTTTATTTTATGACATCTTTGAAGGGATTCTGAATGGAAACATATCATGAGTAATTATTCAGGCAGATTTAAGAAACAACATTATCTGTTATTGTTCATTCACAAATTCACAATTAAATTAAGTTGATATAGGAAAGTCTCTTAAAAAAGATCTGCAGTATAAACAATATGACAAAACGGGCCAAGCCTTAATTTATGGGTTGAAATGATAGAGTTAGCCAAATTTTTGACTTTTGTTTCCAAAAATATTCTAGATTGGCATATTTTCCATTAAAAAAAGTGATTTTATTCCTGAAAACAAGTATGTGAGCTCTGACGGTTCAAGATTATCTGAGTTCTGAGTAACAATTTCAGTGTACATGTTTATTTGTTACTTCCAGCCAAATCGGGAGAAGCAACTGAGAAGGAGCGCCTGAACCAGCTTCGTCTGGCCCTGACCTGGGACCGAGTGGACATCGCCCAGGAAGACATATTTCGTGAGGATTGTATATGGCCGCCAGGGAGTCTGGACAATATTCTAATGGATGCCATCTTGATGGAGCGTGTGGAGTTTGTACACCTCATCCTCCAGCAAGGAGTGGTGATGAAAGAGTTCCTCACCAAGGGCCGACTGACGCAACTTTACCAGAAGGTGCTTATATCGTCAAAAATTCATATTATTTCTACCACAGCCATATGTTAGACTACTGTTTAATTGGTAGTTATGCGGGGGATTATTTTGTTATATTCGTGGTCACAAAAGATAACGCAAAATGAAATACCCAGCCAATATTAATACCTAGAATTATAATCTCTTTGAAAACATAATATCAGACACAAAAGAAATAGTTTGTTTACTTGTTTACTGCAGAATGATTAAGATAAACCAATTCAGGTTCGCATTTTTCTTTATGTTCACAAAACACCTGTAAAATAAATCCCATAACCCAAATACAATAAAGTATTGTTGTCAGGTGATAACTTACCTAGCCATGTTGTGCAAAATATAATCCCATCAAACAAGTTTTGATCAGGACAACCGCAAAATATTAGACCCACGAAAATAAACATCTGTACAGTATACAGAGAACATGAAGTGGTTGCCATTGACGATATATATGTTTGCATGTATATGGCTGACTACTCACTGGGGAATAAATCATACTGCAAACTCGACCTCTACCAAAAGATATACGATGTATTATATTTCCATGTAATATATATACAGTGCGTACTGAAAAGTTGAAGGTTTTATGATGAACTTTAATGATAATGTGTATGTTTACTACCACAAGTTCAACATGGACATTTTGTCCTATTATTGTAATTGAGCTGTATGTAGCCAGTGACATGGCTGTATTAAATGACACTTCTTGTTCAATCTATCCCAGGCCTTGTCAACAAAGAAAGCGGATACTGTTCACCTTAAAAGGATTGCAGTGAGGCACGGTCTACAAAGGAATGACGAGAACTTCAGCATCAAAACGGTCAAGATGTTGATGGAAAAGCTCATGGACAAATACGATGAGAAATTTCAGGACCTTCCATTGCACGAAAGTCAGGCAGATGAAAAGAAGCAATGTACATATCCCTACAAGGAAATCCTCATTTGGTCATCCCTCCTCCTCAAGTAAGACCCTGCTTCGTGTTTATCTTAGTATTAACATAGAACAAGTGCTGATTGTAGTGGGGGCCATTACAAAAGTTCCCAACACTATCCCTGATGTCGCCAGTTATTTATCACATTTTGATTTTTTCTTTTCAATTACAGACAGAAGATGGCTAAGTTTGCGTGGGAGATGGGCGGAGAGCCGGTAACTTCAGCCGTAGCTGTCTCGCGTATCTATGGTAGTATGGCTACGTATATAAACCGCAACGAACAGGCCATCAAGGACAGGATTCTAAAGTACAAAGAGTAAGTGGTCGCTGTTCTTTGTGTTGCCTACAAAGTAAGGATCACTGCACTGCAATTTGTATTTGCATCAGTGTTAATGTTTCTGAATGCTTTAGTTTTCATGAAACAACCTATACAAATATATATATATAGGATCTTACATGAGATTACATTTCATATGAGATTTATGAAACGCGTCTAAGGCTTTTTCAATTAAGCGAGCATACATATATAATATACAATTTTCAGAACTGTTGCCACTGAAAAACCGCCACACAGTGAAGAGTTCACAAGTTAAAACGTTATCATTTCGACATACGAACATTTCCACTTTTACAGTATATGGATATTTATAGAAAATATGCGTAAAATTCAGCACACTCTGAATTCAGAAGCTGTTCTTTGACTCCCAGATTCGTCAGCAATTAAATAATGGTAATAATGACAATATACAATTGATGTTTGTGTTGTATTACAGTGAGTTTGAGAAATTGGCTGTGGAGGTGTTAGATGAGTGCCATGCTAAGGATCATGAGAAGGCCATGATGTTAGTGGAGCGCTGCTCTCCTACCTGGAGTGACATGAGCAGTTTATCTATGGCTGCTTCAGCTTTTGATCGGGTCTGTATAAATTATAGGAGATCATAGGGTTGGTACAGAGGGAAGCGGGCCTATGGTCAAAATTGTGTAGGAATTGTTTGCCATACGTATACTACGGGATGAGGGTATGGATATTAAGATAAAGTTTGTGTAGGAATTGTTTGCCATACTACGGGATGAGGGTATGGATATTAAGATTGTGTAGGAATTGTTTGCCATACTACGGGATGAGGGTATGGATATTGTTTGCCATACTACAGGATGAGGGTATGGATATTAAGATTGTGTAGAAGATCCTTGTGGTAACCTTTGCATCAGCATAGGAGATGGACAATCAAAGAGTGGAGTAGGGTTTCTTTGCAGGAGATGTGGAAGTCCGAATTATTCTGACGTTTTATCGACATTTCTGACGTTTTATCGACATTTTTCATATCGGTCTGTCGTCGATTAACATCAGAACTCCGGCCCTCTATTATATGCAGGAAATATGTGACCCGCGCTCGGAGCGCACTTCAAACTGATATTTTAGAAACAAATCGTCACTTTCACACACATGTCGCACATGGATCGAAAGATCTATTCTTTATGTACTAGGTGGTATCAATAACATGTTTCAAAGATCATTAGGAAAAGTATTTTCCAACCTTTTCTATACCAACCCATGTTTTTAATGGAAATTAGGGCATGAGGAATGTCACATGACTTGACGAAATCTCGCGTTACCGAAGGTATTTCCCAACGTTATGACGTAGGCCGGCGAGATTTTAGTCACGTGGCAAAAAACTAGAGTAAAACAGAGTAAGTTTGAAAAAATATGTTTTAAGAGATTGTATTGGTTGTTTGAGGCATGTTATGTATGTTCATCTTGTGCATAAAGAATAGATCTTTAGATCCATGTGCGACATGTGTGTGAAAGTGACGATTTGTTTCTAAAATATCAATTTGAAGTGCGCTCTGGGCGTGGGTCCAATATTTCCCGCATATTATAGAGGGCAGGAGTTCTGACGTTAAACGACGACAGACCGATATGAAAAAAGTCGATAAATCGTCAGAATAATTCGGACTAGAGATGGGGGATCATTTCTACGTTGGAACCTATGACCGATTTAGTTGATGGTGCATCAAAATGGGAGTTGGAGCTAGGGGAGGGCAAATTCTCTAACCTATTTAGGAAATGGGGAATTATAAAAGGGAGTGAGGACTACAATCTATGTAGGAGATGGGGATCATTGATGGATGTAGCCTATACTCCTTGTAGAGCCTGTGATCTCTGTAGGTGATAAATGATCATGTGGGGCGGAGACTGTGATCTGTGTAGGTGATAGGGGATCATTGGGGAAGGAGCCTGTGATCTGTATAGGTGATAAAGGATCACTGGGGGCGGAGACTGTGATCTGTATAGGTGATAGGGGGTTGTTGGGGAAGGAGACTGATCTGTATAGGTGATAAAGGATCACTGGGGGCGGAGACTGTGATCAGTGTAGGTGATAAAGGATCACTGGGGGCGGAGACTGATCTGTATAGGTGATAAAGGATCACTGGGGGCAGAGACTGTGATCTGTGTAGGTGATAAAGGATCACTGGGGGTGGAGACTGTGATCGCTGGAGGTGATAAAGGATCACTGGGGGCGGAGACTGTGATCTGTGTAGGTGATTAAGGATAACTGGGGGCGGAGACTGTGATCTGTGTAGGTGATAAAGGATCACTGGGGGTGGAGACTGTGATCGCTGTAGGTGATAAAGGATCACTGGGGGGAGAGCCTGTGATCTGTATAGGTGATAAAGGATCACTGGGGGGAGAGCCTGTGATCTGTATAGGTGATAAAGGATCACTGGGGGGAGAGACTGTGATCTGTGTAGGTGATAGAGGGTTATTGGGGAAGGAGATTGTGATCTGTATAGGTGATAAAGGATCACTGGGGGCAGAGACTGTGATCTGTATAGGTGATAAAGGATCACTGGGAGTGGAGACTGTGATCTGTATAGGTGATAGAGGATCACTGGGGGCGGAGACTGTGATCTCTGTAGGTGATAAAGGATCACTGGGGGGAGAGCCTGTGATCTGTATAGGTGATAAAGGATCACTGGGAGCAGAGACTGTGATCTGTATAGGAGATAAAGGATCACTGGGGGGAGAGACTGTGATCTGTGTAGGTGATAGAGTGTTATTGGGGAAGGATATTGTGATCTGTATAGGTGATAAAGGATCACTGGGGGCAGAGACTGTGATCTGTATAGGTGATAGAGGATCACTGGGGGCGGAGGCTGTGATCTCTGTAGGTGATAGAGGATCACTGGGGGCGGAGACTGTGATCTCTGTAGGTGATAGAGAATCACTGGGGGCGGAGACTGTGATCTCTGTAGGTGATAAAGGATCACTGGGAGTGGAGACTGTGATCTGTATAGGTGATAGAGGATCACTGGGGGCAGAGACTGTGATCTCTGTAGGTGATAAAGGATCACTGGGGGCGGAGACTGTGATCTGTGTAGGTGATAAAGGATCACTGAGGGCGGAGTCTGTGATCTGTATAGGTGATAGAGGATCACTGGGGGCGGAGGCTGTGATCTCTGTAGGGGATAGAGGATCACTGGGGGCGGAGACTGTGATTTGTGTAGGTGATAAAGGATCACTGGGGGGAGAGCCTGTGATCTGTGTAGGTGATAAAGGATCACTGAGGGCGGAGACTGTGATCTGTATAGGTGATAAAGGATCACTGGGGGTGGAGACTGTGATCTGTGTAGGTGATAAAGTATCACTGGGGGGAGAGCCTGTGATCTGTATAGGTGATAAAGGATCACTGGGGGCGGAGACTGTGATCTGTGTAGTTGATAAAGGATCACTGGGGGCAGAGACTGTGATCTGTGTAGGTGATAAAAGATCACTGGGGCAGAGACTGTGATCTGTATAGGTGATAAAAGATCACTGGGGGCAGAGACTGTGATCTGTGTAGGTGATAAAGGATTAAAAAGAGGGAGGACGAAATGATATATTTTGGATATATATATTTGCATTTCCTTTTACTAAAGTGTTATGTTCTTGACCATCAAATCAATGGCAAGTTGTGTGAAATTCTGTTTTTATTTTTAGGCGTACTTGGCATCTGTCGCTTGTCAGAACTCTATTAGTATCACATGGAAACGAGGCATTGTATCACCGTGGCAACGGGTGAGTCATTTTGTACTGGTCAAATTAATGGATATCATCCCTGTTATTATTGATACAGGCCTGTACACTATTCCTGTAACCGGATAGTGTCCTGTTTATAGTTGTTAATAATTGTGATAAATCTGAAAAAGATCTGAATCATCTACACCCTGTGACATACCAAATTTGTGACATTTTATTCACTTTACTTCTAAAAGGTACTCAAGTCTTACATTCTGTGTAACGTTTAATGCCCCAACTTTGAATAAAGTTAGGGTATGTAGTATTATTAATTTGGGTTTGTCTGTTCGGCAGAGTTTGGCCCCTTGATTAACGTAAAACATCATTATCTGCAGTTTCCGCTTAGTTACTCTAGCAAATATTAGCTGAATTCCTTCAAACTTGATAACAATGTTTGTGTTCCTCTGTCTTTCCACCCATCTCAGGCACTCTTTGGTTTTTGTGTGATAATTGCTGTAGATATTGTTAAGATGTTTCAACCAAATTCCTTATGCACATCCAACTCATTCTAAGTTTGCCGTCCAATGTGATTTGTGCATATTTACAGATAATCAATGAGGTGTAGGGCTTTTTTTCTTCTTCAAGTTTCAAACTATACATTATGTCTCAACAGCACGATACTCACATGTTTAAACCTAGCCTCAATAATGTTAACCTACAAATGGGGCATTTTTACCGAAAAACTATCTAAGCCCCTAAATGTGTAAAATAAATCTGAACACCTCAATTTATTTGTTTGTAGTGAGAAAATGTCCCACACAAGTATACTTATAGATAGACTGGATCGTTTATTCTCCAAAATTATCTTTGCAACATTATTAAACGGGTTCAATCTTTGTAATGTGAATATATATTGAGGATATTTACTGTAGGATCCCAGAAACGTGCTGTGTCTCTCTATTTATTGCTCTTATAAGATATTCTCTCCATATAAATTGAGATCATTTGAAAGGAAACTTGGTTTACATTAAAAAAAACAACAGTAAATGGTACATGTATTGTTATTCAAAAATCAAAAATATAATATTGTTTTATATTCAGTATATAATTTCCAAACAATTGTCATAATGTCTTGATCTAAATCCCCTTTTATAGAAGCAGATACATTATACCATGAGTTAGATTGGTTTAGAAGTTTGAACTGTGTGATTCAGGACTGCAAATATTCCACTCAAAAATGTCAATTTTCTGCTGTGCATTAAATAAGTCCCTGTATAAAAGAGATTTTTTTTATAAATGTTGTTCAAGATGTTTGCTGGTAGAGTGTTAAATGTTTGACCATGTGTTTATGTGATGTTGAGAAAACTTGACCCTTACCCTGTGTATTATTGAGTATGGTACATTGTTTTGCTGACTGTGTATTATTGAGTATAGTACATTGTTTTGCTGACTGTGTATTATTGAGTATAGTACATTGTTTTGCTGACTGTGTATTATTTAGTATGGTACATTGTTTTGCTGGCTGTGTATTATTGAGTATAGTACATTGTTTTGCTGACTGTGTATTATTGAGTATTGTACATTGTTTTGCTGACTGTGTAATATTGAGTATTGTACATTGTTTTGCTGACTGTGTATTATTTAGTATGCTACATTGTTTTGCTGGCTGTGTATTATTGAGTATAGTACATTGTTTTGCTGACTGTGTATTATTGAGGATGGTACATTGTTTTGCCGACTGTGTATTATTGAGAATGGTACATTGTTTTGCTGACTGTGTATTATTGAGTATTGTACATTGTTTTGCTGACTGTGGATTATTGAGTATTGTACATTGTTTTGCTGACTGTGGATTATTGAGTATAGTACATTGTTTTGCTGACTGTGGATTATTGAGTATTGTACATTGTTTTGCTGACTGTGTATTATTGAGTATTGTACATTGTTTTGCTGACTGTGTATTATTATACCCCCGCAACGAAGTTAGGGGGGTATACTAGTACTGGAATCACCCTGTCTGGATGTCTGGATGTCTGTCTGCCTGTCTGTCTGTCGTCTGCAATAACTTGTCCGGAAAACTCCTCCTTTATTAACTGGTGTATTTCATTGAAACTTTGCACGAATGATCAGTATCTTATGTAGTTGTGCACCGGTATGTTAATTTGGGATTTCTACCCTTTTTGATGGAGTTATGCCCCTTTGTGCAAAATAATTGTCCGCAAAACTCCTCCTTATCTAACAGGTGGATTTCAGTGAAACTTTGCATGGATGATCGTTATTTTATGCAGTTGTGCACCCTCATTTAAAATTGGGATTTCGACCCTTTTTGATGGAGGTAATACTTGTTACTGGTGGGAGACTATGGATTGCTTTGCAATGCTTTGCCATGCTTTGCCTTAGTAAGCCTTTAACTTACAGTTCTGGTTTTTATAGCAGAGGGGGTATTAGTTAGCCTTTGGCTTACAGTTCTAGTTGACTAAAGTACATTGTTTTGCTGACTGTGTACTATTGAGTATGGTACTGTACATTGTTTTGCTGACTGTGTACTATTGAGTATGGTACATTGTTTTGCTGACTGTGTATTATTGAGTATGGTACATTGTTTTGCTGACTGTATTATTGAGTATGGTACATTGTTTTGCTGACTGTGTACTATTGAGTTTGGTACTGTACATTGTTTTGCTGACTGTATTATTGAGTATGGTACGTTGTTTTGCTGACTGTGTATTATTGAGTATGGTACATTGTTTTGCTGACTGTGTATTATTGAGTATGGTACTGTACATCGTTTTGCTGACTGTGTATTATTGAGTATGGTACTGTACATTGTTTTGCTGACTGTATTATTGAGTATGGTACATTGTTTTGTTGACTGTACTATTGAGTATGGTACATTATTTTGCTGACTGTGTATTATTGAGTATGGTACTGTACATTGTTTTGCTGACTGTGTATTATTGAGTATGGTACTGTACATTATTTTGCTGACTGTGTATTATTGAGTATGGTACTGTACATTATTTTGCTGACTGTGTATTATTGAGTATGGGACTGTACATTGTTTTTCTGACTGTATTATTGAGTATGGTACATTGTTTTGCTGACTGTGTATTATTTAGTATAGGACATTGTTTTGCTGACTGTGTACTATTGAGTATGGTACATTGTTTTGCTGACTGTCCTATTGAGTATGGTAAATTGTTTTGCTGACTGTACTATTGAGTATGGTACTATACATTGTTTTGCTGACTGTGTACTATTGAGTATGGTACATTGTTTTGCTGACTGTGTATTATTTAGTATAGTACATTGTTTTGCTGACTGTGTACTATTGAGTATAGTACATTGTTTTGCTGACTGTGTATTATTGAGTATGGTCCATTGTTTTGCTGACTGTACCATTGAGTATGGTACATTTTTTTGCTGACTGTGTACTATTGAATATGGTAAATTGTTTTGCTGACTGTACCATTGAGTATGGTACATTTTTTTGCTGACTGTGTATTGTTGAGTATGGTACATTGTTTTGGTGACTGTACTATTGAGTATGGAACATTGTTTTGCTGACTGTACTATTGTGTATGGTACATTGTTTTGCTCACTGTGTATTATTGAGTATGGTCCATTGTTTTGCTGACTGTATTATTGAGTATGGTACATTGTTTTGCTGACTGTGTATTATTGAGTACGGTACATTGTTTTGCTGACTATTTTTGTCAGGTTGTTCCTGTTGTGTTGTTTCCCCTTCTGTTGATGTTTCCACGAATCTTGGAAATCCATCTGCTGGGAGAAGAATCTCTAACTTTCTTACACAGAGTGACAACATTCTTCACAGCTCCTATTACTAAATTTGCCTATTTTTCGGTAAGTATATTTCCTGAACATTTCATAATTCATCATTAAATTCCTGTATTTTTTCCGTGTCATTCCCCAGGTGTTTGTGTGTATGATTGTTCCGTTTATGCTGATGACCCCTTACTTGGAGATGAGTTTCATGGGAGAGCTGGGCTTCAACCTTAGACAGAAGATAACTACATTTTATACTGCACCCATTACAAAGTTTGCAAATCATACGGTATGTCAGGGCACACACATGCTTTCTGTCAGCTGTGGGCTTTTTCTCTGTGCACACCTTGTTAAAATATATCATATGCAGGTATACGGGAAAATGGTTATCTGCCTGTCATCTTTACTAATCAATCATGCTTTCACATTTAACCTCCTCCATTCACTAAAGATTATAGCGTGTGAATGGAAGCAACACTTGCCTAGAGGAACATTGTCAGTTTTGACTGTTTGTTTTTCCAGAATATTCAGAAGAACAAGTTTTAAGCCCACCATAATCAGATATTCAAATTATTCTGTGTCCGTCCTGAACTCTTCCACCCCTTTGTTACTTTAATAAACTCTACCATGCATTGATCTGGATAAGTCCATTATGGTCTACAGTGGTGAAAGGGTTAAACAATTCTTGTTAGCACTATTTCTCAGAAAGTACTGGCTGGACCTTCCTCAAGCTTCACATGAAGGTTTCTCACAGTCCCTTGTTACGCATATCAAATTTTAGGACTGAATAGAAAACCAAGATGGCCGACAGGCACTCATCTTGAATTTAAGAGTTAAAGTTTGTCAGCACTGTTTCTCTGAAACTACAGGAGGGATTATTTCTCAAATTTAGAGACTGATTGGAACACCAAGATGACCACCAGATGGACATCTTTATATATTTAAAGTTTGTTATTGCTATTTTTCAGAAGGTACTAGAGGGATCTTTCTCAAATATGATATATAGGTTCTCCTGCGTCCTTAGTTGTGCCTGTTAGATTTTGAGACTGATCAGAAGAACAAGATGGCTGCCAGGCAAATTGACCAAACTGATAAGAGAAAAGAAGAGAAAAGATTTAACTGACATTGAACTATTGAGGATGATATGGTGGTGGGCACTAAAATCCCTCTAGGATGGTGGGCACTAAGATTCCTCTAGGATGGTGGGCACTAAGATCCCTCTAGGATGGTGGGCACTAAGATTCCTCTAGGAAGGTGGGCAATAATATCCCTCTAGGATGGTAGGCACTAAGATCCCTCTAGGATGGTGGGCTCTGAGATCCCTCTAGGATGGTGGACACTAAGATCCCTCTAGGATGGTGGGCACTAAGATCCCTCTAGGATGGTGGGCACTAGCACTAAGATTCATCTAGGATGGTGGGCACTAAGATCCCTCTAGGATGGTGGGCACTAAGATCCCTCTAGGATGGTGGGCACTAAGATCCCTCTAGGATGGTGGGCACTAAGATTCCTCTAGGATGGTGGGCACTAAGATCCCTCTAGGATGGTGGGCACTAAGATCCCTCTAGGATGGTGGGCACTAAGATCCCTCTAGGATGGTGGGCACTAAGATCCCTCTAGGATGGTGGGCACTAAGATCCCTCTAGGATGGTGGGCACTAAGATCCCTCTAGGATGGTGGGCACTAAGATCCCTCTAGGATGGTGGGCACTAAGATCCCTCTAGGATGGTGGGCACTAAGATCCCTCTAGGATGGTGGGCACTAAGATCCCTCTAGGATGGTGGGCACTAAGATCCCTCTAGGATGGTGGGCACTAAGATCCCTCTAGGATGGTGGGCACTAAGATCCCTCTAGGATGGTGGGCACTAAGATCCCTCTAGGATGGTGGGCACTAAGATCCCTCTAGGATGGTGGGCACTAAGATCCCTCTAGGATGGTGGGCACTAAGATCCCTCTAGGATGGTGGGCACTAAGATCCCTCTAGGATGGTGGGCACTAAGATCCCTCTAGGATGGTGGGCACTAAGATCCCTCTAGGATGGTGGGCACTAAGATTCCTCTAGGATGGTGGGCACTAAGATCCCTCTAGGATGGTGGGCACTAAGATCCCTCTAGGATGGTGGGCACTAAGATCCCTCTAGGATGGTGGGCACTAAGATCCCTCTAGGATGGTGGGCACTAAGATCCCTCTAGGATGGTGGGCACTAAGATCCCTCTAGGATGGTGGGCACTAAGATTCCTCTAGGATGGTGGGCACTAAGATCCCTCTAGGATGGTTGGCACTAAAGTCCCTCTAGGATGGTGGGCACTAAGAACCCTCTTGGATGGTGGGCACTAAGATCCCTCTAGGATGGTGGGCACTAAGATTCCTCTAGGATCTCTTGTTTCATGGTCAGTTTTTAAAAATAGGGACTTCCAAATTAAAGTTCAACTTTGACAATAGCCCCAAACATTTGCCATCTTTGGTTTTAAGCTATTAGTTTTGATAGTGAAATGTGGGAATAGGATGGGCCTATATAGACTTATATATTCACAGCTATTAATTTGATCCACATTCATGATTACCATTCCATAATGGAATGGGTAGGTGTATCAAACAGCAGATGTGTACATACATGTTGATGGGTTAATTAACAACCATGCTCTAGCATCTGTGAGATCCAAAAAGTTCAACTGCTAAGTTGGTATCTTTGGTCGTGAAATAAGTATAGGAATTTTGTTGGAACCTTTTGGTGTAGTAGGTTGTGGTGCAGGACTTTCTATTTTTACCTCTAGAGTGTTGTATTGTGAATTTATCTGAGTGTTAAAATCTTGTTGTAATGATTGCACTTTCTAAAATTCAAAAATATATTTCATTAGTGGCAAAGCAGTACATGTATAATTTGTTTTTAGTTTGATTTCATTGTAATGTATACTTTTTCTCCTAACACTCAACAACTGCTACATGTATAAATCTTACACATAATGCTGTACTACAATGTAAGATTTAGTGTTAGAATCTATTGTAAATATTGTAATGTCATTTCTATACCTACTCATTGTAATTTTGATATTTAAGTTTCATATCTCTATTTAATCTTTATATATTGACTTGAAAATAAATAAATTAGTTTCAACGATGTTAAATGTATTCTTGTTTGCTAGGTAATTTGAATAATTATTTTTTGGTGAGAGAAGTCATAGATGGAAATAAAAACTGATACCTGACCAGAGGAATTCTGATCTGATAATGAGAAAGTTCTATGATTATTCTGTCTAACAAAAGAACAAAAGTTTGTTTAAGTGATAAGTTCAAGTGGTCAAGTCCTTAGAAAGATGACAAAATGGGCTCCACTCTAGGTTTTATCCAGGGGGGTTGATATTTAGACCCTTGATTGCATATGTATTTAACAAGGGGCCAAGTTTATTACTGAGAATGTTCTTATCAGCAGTAAAATCTGGTTAATAAGGGGTAGACTTATTACTGGTTGTGGGAGTATAACTGTTAAATCTGGTTAACTGGAATTATTAATGAGCGTGTACTTATCACTGGTAAAATCTGGATAACAAGGGGGGGACTTATTACTGGTTGTGGGAGTATTACTGTTAAATCTGGTTAACTGGAATTATTAATGAGCGTGTACTTATCACTGGTAAAATCTGGTTAACAAGGGGTGGAATTATTATCAAGTGTTCGCTTATTGCGGTAAAATATGTTTAAGATCAGTAAAATCAAGTGAATAATAGGGTGGGCTTATTTTTGAGCATGGGGTTATCATTGGCAATTACATTTATCTGTTAGTTGAGCTCACTGTGATATAAGTGTGTTATGCCATGTTTATGACCTAGTTATCTGTTAGTTGAGCTCACTGTGATATAAGTGTTATGCTATGTTTATGACCTAGTTATCTATTAGTTGAGCTCACTGTGATATAAGTGTGTTATGCTATGTATATGACCTAGTTATCTGTTAGTTGAGCTCACTGTGATATAAGTGTGTTATGCCATGTTTATGACCTAGTTATCTGTTAGTTGAGCTCACTGTGTTATAAGTGTTATGCTATGTTTATGACCTAGTTATCTATTAGTTGAGCTCACTTTGATATAAGTGTGTTATGCCATGTTTATGACCTAGTTATCTGTTATTTGAGCTCACTGTGATATAAGTGTGTTATGCTATGGATATGACCTAGTTATCTGTTAGTTGAGCTCACTGTGATATAAGTGTTTTATACTTTGTTTATGACCTAGTTATTTGTTAGTTAAGCTCACTGTGATATAAGTGTATTATGCTATGTTCATGACCTAGTTATCTGTGAGTTGAGCTCACTGTGATATAAGTGTGTTATGCTATGTTCATGACCTAGTTATTTGTAAGTTGAGCTCACTGTGATATAAGTGTTTTATGCTATGTTTATGACCTGGTTATCTGTTAGTTGAGCTCCCTGTGATATAAGTGTGCGATGCTTTGTTTATGACCTAGTTATTTGTTAGTTAAGCTCACTGTGATATAAGTGTTTTATGCTAGGTTTATGACCTAGTTATTTGTTAGTTAAGCTCACTGTGATATAAGGGTGCTATGCTGGGGTTGTGGGCTAGTTATCTGTTAGTTGAGCTCACTGTGATATAAGTGTGCTATGCTTTGTTTATGACCTAGTTATCTGTTAGTTGAGCTCACAGTGATATAAGTGTGCTATGCTATGTTTATGACCTAGTTATCTATTAGTTGAGCTCACTGTGATATGAGTATTTTATGCTATGTTTATGACTTGTAGCTGATGTACATCGCGTTCCTGGTGCTCTTTACCTACATGCTGCTGGTGGACTTTGAGGCCCACAGAGTCACTCCCATAGAGTGTGTATGTGTGGCCTGGATCTTCACATTCATGGTCGATGACATTTACACGGTGAGTAAAATTACAAATGTCTTGAGTTTAATATGTGAAATGTGTAGATTGTCCTACATTATTTGTCACATGTGTAGATTGTCAACCTCCCTTTCGAAATGGTGTGGTACCGATATGTCCAAGTTGTTGTTTCAGAGTGCTCATCAACAAAAAGTCCCTCAGATAGGACTCCAAACTGAAGGTCCCGTGTCTGATTTCATGTCAAAGATACTGTAGATATTGTAATACATGTAAGAGAGTAGGTCTAGCTGGTACAGAAAATGCTTATTTCATAAGCAACTTTAACCATTACAAAAACTGAGAATTATGCAGTATTGCTGTTGTTTGAAGTTGACAGTGTTTGAAAATAATAAAAAATAATATCGTCTTTCAGTTGTTGACGTTTCCATCGCCCACGTTTTATGGGAAGTTACGTGACTGGTACGGATTCCTCAAGTGGCTGGATCTTATCAACTTTATCTTGGCTTTTATTGCCTTCATCATCCACTTCAGGGAGGACTACTTCGAGGTGACCAAGATAATGTACTGTATCAATGGCGTCATCTTGTACATCAGAATCCTCAAGACCTACACAGCCAACGCAAACCTGGGGCCCAAGATGGTGATGATTCAACGCATGGTAAGTTACTTCATTGGTCGCAGATATTGTGGAATTTGATGTGTAATAAGTTACATCACATTTCGAAATTGTAATATCACAATATTGTTGATTTATAAAACGACATCATGAAACGCCATTATTGGACATGGTAGAAATAAGACAAAGCCTACAGAAACATGTTTCACCAGTATCTCATTAAAATGAATCATCCTGGCTTGTTTTTATTAGTCTCAGATGATAGTTTTAACTCCTTCAATGACATTTTACATGTTCCTTTAGTTTCAAGTTCATTTTGTGCTTGCATTTAGATGGCAGAACTGAAGATGTTTGTGATGGTACTGTTGGTATTCCTACTGGCTTACGGGATTTCTAGCCAGGCCTTACTGTACAAACAGCGACGTCCTAGCTGGAGTATCCTCAAGGATATGTTCTACTTCCCCTACTGGCAGCTGTTCGGTGAAATCTTTCTGGATGACCTCAACAGTAAGTTGACCTGCCATTGCCTACATTACAGAGGTCATTGTGTTAATTTAATATATATTCTCAGCCTACATGGTTATGTATTTACATCTATTTTTTCATATTTTACAGCGGACACAGATTGTTTGGAAGCTGCTCGTCGAATCAATGATACAGCACTGGCCGCTACAGAGGAGTTGTACTGTCTACAAAACCATTGGCTTGTTTACTTCCTCCTGGCCGCCTACCTCATGGTGGGAAACGTTCTCCTCCTCAACCTCCTCATAGCCATATTCAGGTAACTACTTCATCAGCCTCCCTATAGTCATTGTCAGGTAACAACCTCATCAGCCTCCTCATATAGTCATTGTCAGGTAACTGCCTCATCAGCCTCCCTATAGTCATTGTCAGGTAACTGCCTCATCAGCCTCCCCATAGTCATTGTCAGGTAACTGCCTCATCAGCCTCCCCATAGTCATTGTCAGGTAACTGCCTCATCAGCCTCCCCATAGTCATTGTCAGGTAACTGCCTCATCAGCCTCCCCATAGTCATTGTCAGGTAACTGCCTCATCAGCCTCCCCATAGTCATTGTCAGGTAACTGCCTCATCAGCCTCCCCATAGTCATTGTCAGGTAACTGCCTCATCAGCCTCCCCATAGTCATTGTCAGGTAACTGCCTCATCAGCCTCCCCATAGTCATTGTCAGGTAACTACTTCATCAGCCTCCCTATAGTCATTGTCAGGTAACTGCCTCATCAGCCTCCCCATAGTCATTGTCAGGTAACTGCCTCATCAGCCTCCCCATAGTCATTGTCAGGTAACTGCCTCATCAGCCTCCCCATAGTCATTGTCAGGTAACTGCCTCATCAGCCTCCCCATAGTCATTGTCAGGTAACTGCCTCATCAGCCTCCCCATAGTCATTGTCAGGTAACTGCCTCATCAGCCTCCCCATAGTCATTGTCAGGTAACTACTTCATCAGCCTCCCTATAGTCATTGTCAGGTAACTGCCTCATCAGCCTCCCCATAGCCATTGTCAGGTAACTACCTAATCAGCCTTCCAATAGTCATTGTCAGGTAACTGCCTCATCAGCCTCCCCATAGTCATTGTCAGGTAACTACCTTATCAGCCTCCCCATAGCCATTGTCAGGTAACTACCTAATCAGCCTCCCCATAGTCATTGTCAGGTAAGTATGTCATCAACTCCCCATAGCCATTGTCAGGTAACTACCTAATCAGCCTCTCCATATAGCCATTGTCAGGTAACTACCTAATCAGCCTCCCCATAGCCATTGTCAGGTAACTGCCTCATCAGCCTCCCCATAGTCATGGTCAGGTAACTGCCTCATCAGCCTCCCCATAGTCATTGTCAGGCAACTACCTTATCAGCCTCCCCATAGCCATTGTCAGGTAACTACCTAATCAGCCTCCACATAGCCATTGTCAGGTAAATACCTAATCAGCCTCCCCATAGCCATTGTCAGGTAACTACCTAATCAGCTCCCCATATAGCCATTGTCAGGTAACAATCTCATCAGCCTCTCCATAGCCATTGTCAGGTAACTACCTAATCAGCCTCCCCATAGCCATTGTCAGGTAACTATGTCATCAACTCCCCATAGCCATTGTCAGGTAACTATGTCATCAACTCCCCATAGTCATTGTCAGGTAACAACCTCATCAGCCTCCTCATAGCCATTGTCAGGTAACTACCTAATCAGCCTCCCCATAGCCATATTTAGGTAACTACCTCATCAGCCTTCTCATAGGCATTGCGAGGTTACTACCTCATCAGCCTTCTCATATAGCCATATTTAGGTAACTACCTCATCAGCCTTCTCATATAGCCATATTTAGGTAACAACCTAATCAGCCTCCCCATAGCCATTGTCAGGTAACTACCTAATCAACTCCCTATATAGCCATTGACAGGTAACTATGTTATCAACTCCCTATAGCCATTGTCAGGTAACTACCTAATCAGCCTCCCCATATAGCCATTGTCAGGTAACTATGTCATCAACTCCCCATAGTCATTGTCAGGTAACAACCTCATCAGCCTCCCCATAGTCATTGTCAGGTAACAACCTCATCAGCCTCCTCATAGCCATATTTAGGTAACTACCTCATCAGCCTTCTCATATAGCCATATTCAGGTTTCTATCAACCTCATGGTGAGAAATGCACTCCTCATTCACTTTGCCAGGCTAGCCCTAAAGCAAGATTTCTATAATATTTGAAGATAATTGCAGTTAGACCTTTAGTTGTTTGGTACCAACCATTATATTATAGGAAAACCTGGGCCAATCATCTTACAATAATAGTCTTCTGATTGATTCCCAGTACTCTTTACACTGGAGTCTGTATCGCCTTACACTGGGCACTCCTTACACTGGAGTCTGTATCGCCTTACACTGGGCACTCCTTACACTGGAGTCTGTATCGCCTTACACTGGGCACTCCTTACACTGGAGTCTGTATCGCCTTACACTGGGCACTCCTTACACTGGAGTCTGTATCGCCTTACACTGGGCACTCCTTACACTGGAGTCTGTATCGCCTTACACTGGGCACTCCTTACACTGGAGTCTGTATCGCCTTACACTGGGCACTCCTTACACTGGAGTCTGTATCGCCTTACACTGGGCACTCCTTACACTGGAGTCTGTATCGCCTTACACTGGGCACTCCTTACATTGGAGTCTGTATCGCCTTACACTGGGCACTCCTTACACTGGAGTCTGTATCGCCTTACACTGGGCACTCCTTAAACAGAGCACTGTATTGTATTTTTAGGTCACCTGAGCTTTGCTCAAGTGACCTATTCCAATCACTTTCCGTCCGTCGTCGTCCGTCGTGCGTAAACTTTTTACATTATTAACTTCTTCTCAAGAACGAGCGGATGGAATTTTTTCAAACTTGGTCTGAATCATCCTTGGTAGATGAGGCTACCAAATTGTAAAATTGGGATTCCTATCCCAACCCTAAGGGCCAGGGCGGGGCCCAAAAGGGAAAATTAACCAATATTTCAAAAATCTTCTTCTCAAGACTCAGAGGTATTACAGTTATTTTCTCTGCATGGATGGAAAGATCATCAGGGGCTTTATCTTAATTGTAAATTTCAGGACCCCCGATCTATCCGTTCTCCCTTGGGGAGGGGGTAAAGTTTACTATAATTTATATAGGGAAACAACACTTTTGGGTATATTTTGACAACTTTCTGTTGGAAATTATTCTTACTTAGTGAGAATTATCCTTGAAGAAACATGGTTTTAAATTGTAAAATCGGAATTCCTACCCCAACCCTAGGGGCCAGGGCGGGGCCCCATAGGGAAAATTAACCAATATTTCAAAAATCTTTTTCTCCAGACTCAGAGGTATTACAGTCATTTTTTCTGCATGGATGGAAAGATCATCAGGGGCTTTATTTAAATTGTAAATTTCAGGACCCCCGATCTATCCATTCTCCCTTGGGGAGGGGGTAAAGTTAAGTATAGTTCATATAGGGAAACAACACTTTTGGGTATATTTTGACAAATTTCTGTTGGAAATTATTCTTACTTGGTGAGAATTATCTTTGGTGGATGACGGTATCACATTGTAAACTTGGAATTCCTGCCCCATCCCCAGGGGTTAGAGCGGGGCCCCAAAGGGAACATTTACAAATATTTTAAAATTCTTATCCTTTGATGACATGACAAGTATTGTATTTCACTTAGTTTACATGCTGATTTCCACATCACATCTAAACAATAAAATAAAGCTACCAGTACCTATGATATAACTCAGGTGACCGCTAAGGCCCTTGGGCCTCTTGTTTAATCTTTGATCAGTAGGGACATGGTGAGAAAGTACCGTAATAAAATCTTGTTTCTCTCTTTTTTTTCAGTCATGTGTTTGACACAATTGAGGAAAACTCCATCGAGATCTGGAAATACCAGATGTACTTCCTTACTATGGAGTTTGATAACAAGACAGCGTTTGTGCCGCCGTTCAGCATCTTCGCCCACTTCTACCTCACATTTAAGTGGATATTCCGTAAAACTTGCTGTCGCAAGGGCACGAAAGGTAGAACATACAAAATGCTGTGCACAGCTTGTATTTCATTTGAGTATGCCTTTTTCTAGAATTCATGAGGGAAAATATGAATTTTAAAAGATTTGATTTTGATTGTTGATTGTTACTGCTTTTCTTCTAATATTATTTGCTGTCATGTCAATTGATGCAACTCCTGGTTTCTTGGCACTGTGAAATGTTTGTTATTATAAGACCAAATGAAAAACAACAATGTTTCAGGTTTCCTTTTGTGTCCCATTTTTATACGCCCGTCGAAGACGGGGACGTATTATGTTATCACGCGGGCGGGCGCGCGGGCGGGTGGGTGG